GCGGGGAGGGGAGACGTTGCAGTCAGTAGTAAAAGGTAATTGTGGTTAGACTCGATGGTGGAGTAGAGAGAAGCACAGACGGTGGAGAAGTGTATTGGAGACGGAACTGACAGGACAGGCTTGGGGAAAGGGTAGCTTCTGCCATGGATTTGGGGGGTTCGGCGTGAGGAATCAGCTGTGCTATGCTGGCATTTACTAGTGATGTTGGGGGCGTGACTCAAGGACTCGGCTGGGGGCACCGTGAATTTCAGGTGTCTTGAGTGGAACCCAAGTTAGATGGCCTGGCCCGGAGCCAGTAGGAAAGGGTGGAGCTGATGTAAGGAACTTAGAAATCGTTGGCACGTCGCTCAGTGGGATGAGATTACGCAAGATGAGAATCAAGATAGAAAACAGAAGCCAGGTTCCAGCGGCAGGCTCCGGTTTGTATAGGTTGGGTTGACCAAGAAGGAGCCCAGAGAAGCAGAGGAAACTCTGCAGAGTGTGGTGTGATATCCAAGAGGCTGTCCCTGGAGGAGGATGTGGTCAGTCGTGTAAGATGCTGGTGAGACTAGAGACTTGGCCCTTGAAGGGACAAGTGACTCGGTGGGGCCGTGGGGACAGGCTGGGGACGGTTCACGGACCGGGAGGGGGTAAGCCCCTACCGCGAGCCAGCACCCCGCGCTGTACCTGATGCCACTGACTCCCCTCCCAGGAGGCTCATGATTTTATCCTCCTTTACAGTTGGGGAAACTGAGGTCCAGAAGTCAGTAACTTGGGTCATGAAATAGTAAGGAGAGGGGCCAGGATTGGATCCCAGGTCTTTCTCACTCCGGGCCACACTTCTGAGCCCTGAGCTGCGCTGCCCATGTCCTAGTTGGGAACATGCTATGGTGATACACCAACTGATGTGGCGGCTGCCCCGAGCTACGCTGCCCCTGAGGAAAGAAAGGCAGAATATGGGATTCCTTTCCTGGGCAAGTGAGATTTGAAAGAGCATTTGCTCTTTTAAGACTGGTTTCCCTTATTGCAGAATAAGGGTGGGGACCTTATCGGTTACAGATTTCTGTCTCCAATGCTTGGTATACAGGAGTGCTCAATAAATGCACACTGAGTAAGTGGCCAGGTGATTTCCAAGAGCCCTGCTAGCCAAGGTCTGTTGTGTTTGGGGTTAGGTGACCTTCTGGAAAGTAGTAAGAGAAGGAGTGCTGTTAACTTTGGGACAATGCTCCCTGTGAGCCTGGGTTAGTCATGGGGACTTCCTAGTGGTGGGGGACCTGCACCAGCTCTTTGAAGGAAGAGGGGAGGGTGGAGGGTATTAGTGTTGGAGCAGGAACTGCAGCAAAGGCAGAAGGTAGGAGAAGTTGATTCACAGAAGGGTACAGACTGCCCTAGCTCGGAAGCCGTGGGTAGGACCACGGGGAGGGGGTGCTAGAAGAAAGATCTCTTGGTGCCAGCATGCCCTGTGGTCACCTGTGGGGGGTAAGCAGTGCTTCTTATCAGGGAGCAGTTTTGCCCCCAGGAGACGTTCCTGTTTGTCATTACTTGGGATGAGGGTCTGGGATGCCACAGGCATCTAGTGGTTAGAGGTCAAATGCTGCTAAATGCCCTACAGTACACAGGACAGGCCTTCTCCAATTGTCAGTAATGCCAAGTGGAGAAACCCTGGTCTAGAGGAAGGAGTATGAGCCTTGGGATCTGTTGGACCCACTGCCTAGCTGTGTTAGCAGAATTCTGACTGTGGGAGGTGCAGGGAGAAGGAGAGGATCATATAGGAAACTAATGCATCGGGTGGGGGAGAAAGGGAATGGTGGCTGGATGGTAGTGGTGGAGGTCAGGAAATGTGGCCATATTTGGGATATTTTTTAAGACAGGTCTGACAGTACCTGTTGATTGAATATGGGCTGAGGGGAAGAGAGGAATCAAGGATGAGAACAAGGTTTCTGGCCTGAGCAGCTAGCAACTAGTGACTGGTGGTGCCACCTCAGGGTGGGAAGAGGAGCAGGTTTTGACGGAGGGTGGAGGACTCCTGGAGAACAGAAGTCCATTCTGGACAGGCTGGGTGTGAGGCGCCTGGTGTTAGACATCCAAGCGAAGAGGACAAGGAGGCAGACGGGTATCCTGCGTTAGCCGGGGAGGTGAGAGGGGGCGATGCGCATTGGGTCATGACGGCTTACAGAGGCATTTCAAGGAATGGGCCCGCGTTAGGCAAAATAGCACAGTGGCTCTCAACCTCATGGATGCTACGCCCTCTTTTTAATGACAAATATTTTGGTGATAACTACCCTCCCCCTTATTATCTTAAAATGAAACTTATGGTTCAAAAAACTACCAACAGATAATTTTTTTTAATTGGCAATGCCCTACCCATAATGTAAAAGAAATAAAAGGAAAGTAGATGGTAATAAAATGTTTCAATATGTGAGTTCCTGAGCACAGGCTACTAGAAGCTACAATGACGCAGCCCACTCCTGTGGAACCTGCAGGCGGTGAGGGCCACAGGGCAGCCTGCCACAGCCCGTGGGCAGCTCCAAGCCCGTACCTGCCGTGGCTGCAGGTGGCTTTTCCAGACTGGGAGCTCGTGGTACCCTTTTATCAAAAACAGTTCAGCCTCCCCTCAGTGTACATAGTACCTAAAACTTAGGAGAACCTTGGAAAAACTGCTCTGTTGCCTGGAAAGCAGAGTTGGGTTCTTTATAAGCAGATCTTTAACCTACAGGAATCTCAGAGTCATGCAGGCTGCAGAACAGTTCTCAGTTATGTGCACTGCCCCCCTCAGAGCCCTACTCACTAAAAATTAGGAGTGTCCCTGCAGAACAGCACATGGGTTCCCAGAGTTCCCCTGAAGAGAACCAGAGCCTGAGGGTGCCCTATGGGACATGAGCCTGTGCCAGCTCCCAGTTTGCCTTGGGGATGGGGAAATGACACCTCAGGTTCCAGAGTACAGAAACAATGTTGATACTCCCTGCAGAGAGGACTGGGAGGGGAAGTTGGGGTGCCTCTGATTAGACGGTTCTAGGAAGGCTTCAAGGCAGTGGCATTTCTGTCGGGTGGGAACGTATCAAAGGAGAAGATGGGAGGAGGGACACAGATGAAGCAGCAGGTGGGATAATGCTGGTCTGGGGGGGGGGGCGGGATCTACCTGGTCTCCCCAGGGCCTGGCATGCTCGGGCACTCACTGGGGTTGGCTGGGTGATAGGCAGCAGGGAGTGGTTTAGTTGGGAAAGACCCCGTGGCAGGCTCCATGTCTGTGACACTGGCTGTTAGAGTCTACGGCAAGGTCGGTGTTGGTTTCCTGGTCCATTTTACTGATTATTATTATTATTATTATTATTATTATTATTAGAGAGAGAGGAAGGGAGAGGGAGAAACATCAGTGAGAGAGAACATCGATTGGCTGCCTCTTGCACGCCCCTCACCAGGGATCGAGCCTGTAACCCAGGCATGTGCCCTGACCGGTGGCCTCTTGGTACATGAGTCGATGCTCAACTACTGAGCCACACCGACTGGGCTCCTGGTCCATTTTAACACCTTAATGACCAGCTTGGTCCCCTGAAACCACAGGCCCACTCTCCTGCAATGAGTCATCACCGTATGGAGAACTTACAATGTGCCAGGTGGGGCTGTAAGGCCAGCATGGACCTGGCGGGCCCTGTCTTCGTGGAGCTGTCCGCCTCCCAGGGACACAGATCATCATGCCCTGAACAGGTCCGATGGAGGAATCATGGGGGACCTATGAGAGCAGCTTGTGTGTCAGGGGCACCCCTCACATTGGGAGGGAGGGGTTCCTGAGGAAGCAGCATTTGAGCTGAAGATGAGTAGATGCGCTGAGAAGGTATGGAGGGAGGGCAGAGCGCCGGCTCCTCCAGGTGCAGGACGGAGCCTGGTTGCTCAGGGAACTGAAGGTGGCTGGCCGGTGGGACTGGGGCACGAGGGCTGCAGCTGAGCTAAGGCCGGCAGGAGCCCGATCCGGCCTTTTTAACCTAAAGAAGGGTTTTGATCTTTATCTTAAGAGCACTGGAAGCTGCAGAAGGGCTTTAAGCAGTGGTCTGACATGATCAGATTTATGTTTTAAAAAGGTCACTTTGGTAGCAATTCATGGAGAACAGCTTGAGGCGACAAGAGAGTGGATGTGACCGGGAGCTCAGCTCGGGGTGGGCTCCTTCCTGCTCCTGTCTGCTCCCATCTCCCTGCGGGACAGGCCTGGGTGGGTGGGGTCAGATGGCCCTCACTCTGCCCAAGCCACCAGCGCTGCCTTTTCATCCTTCTAGCCTCAGACCTGGGACCGTGAGCCCTGCACCCGGTAACCATGGAGAGGATTGGCTCGGTCCACCAGCCCCTTAGGTGAGGACTCCGCCCAGGCTCCGATAACCGTCCTGATCATGGAGTGAAGAGAACTCCTCTAACCAGGCCACGTTCTTGTTAAAAGTCGTGGCGCAGGCCCAGCGGCTCTTCCTGCTCGTCTTCAGGAGAGGTGCCTGCCCCCGCCGACCCCAGCTGGGAGCAGCTGCTTCCCCAGATGGGGAGGTGGGCCCTCGACGTGGCCTTTGTGTGGAGGGCAGTGTTGACCCTGGGGCTGGTCCTTCTCTACTACTGCTTCTCCATCGGCATCACCTTCTACAACAAATGGCTGACAAAGGTGACTGGGAGGCCTGCACCGTGGGGCCGGGAGGGAGGTGGCGGGGCCGCAGTGCCCCTCATACTTAACAACAGGAAGGCACGGGCTTCAGCCAGTCACGTTAGTGATGGGGCAGAACCCCACAGCCAGCACTGCCATGCCAGGGATTCTCCCGAAATATTTGCATCGAGGGGAAATTAGGGGGCCACGGGGATGAGCTGGGGAGACTTGGAGAGCTTAAGCAACAGCTGTGGACCAACAGGTAGAAAAGTAGTTCAATACTCTAATAGCTGGCACAGCCATCCTGGCCCACGCTGCTGTTCCTTGGGTGTGGGCCATGGGGAGGGGCTGGAGCAGGTAGCTAACAGGCTGTTGAAGGTGGAGATAGCACTGAACTACAGTTGAGCCCCATTTGTCCACCTGCTGCCGGTGTGACCTCCAAATTGGGACTAAGTCTCTGATGCCAAGTGATTGTACTGTGGGTGAAAGCCCCTGCAGAGCCCTCAGCAAGCACCGAATTAGGGCCCCTGCCACCAGGGGGGGAGCCCGGTGAGGGCTGCTGTCTAACGGCGCCTGGCCGGCCGGCTGTGCTTTGGGCCCCGTACAGAGCTTCCACTTCCCCCTCTTCATGACGATGCTGCACCTGGCCGTGATCTTCCTGTTCTCCGCCCTGTCCAGGGCGCTGGTCCAGTGCTCCAGCCACAGGGCCCGCGTGGTGCTGAGCTGGACCGACTACCTCAGAAGAGTAGCTCCGACAGGTGTGTTCCCGTGGGGAGGGCCCAGCAGGAGGAGGGCTGCTTGGGAAGCCATAGGCCTAGAACGAAAGGAAGTCTTCCTGGCCTAAAGCTTAGGCCCCTCTTTCCCTGCCCCACCCATGTTTCCTCACTCCTCTCTGCCTGCCCTCCCCGCCCCCACATCTGCCCATATGTACTCTCCATCTTCCCGCTTCCCCCACGCACACCACACAGAAGCCCCAGTGCAGCAGTAGCCTTGTAGCTCCCTTGACCTTGAACAGGCACACTGAGCTGTGTTTCAGGCCTGGAGGTAGTGGTGAGCAGAGCGTGTAGTCCCTGCCCACGGTGCTAGGCAGGGAGGGCTCCCCAGAGCAAGGGCTGAGTGGGCTGAGACCTGGAGGGCGAGTGGGACCGGGCAGTCCGGGGAGGGGAGGGGTTTAGTGCATGTGGGAGTCTGCAAGGGAACTGAAAGTATCTTGGGGCGCTGAGGACTCAACATTGGTGCGAGGAAGTGAGAGGGTGGAAGGGGTCAGATCCTGGAGGGCCAGGTCCTCCTCCGTGTGACCACTCTGAAGCGTTTGCAGGATCAGATTATATCTGTCAGCAGGGGGGTATGCAAAAAATTAAGCAAGTGGGAAGGACACAGGCCCCAGCCAGTCAGAATGCACTATAGCCTGAATGTGGAGCAGACCTCCCCCCCTTTTTTTGAGTTAACCTTTTAGTTGCTGGGTAGAAGGGAAGGCCTAAAGGCCCCAGAGAAAGTGAGGGGACTCATGGAAGTGTTCTAATCACTGGTGCCCCCATGCCACCTGCCCTTTCTCCCCGGCGTGTCCGGTGGGCGCCCTGTGTCTCCACAGCGCTGGCTACGGCACTTGACGTGGGCTTGTCCAACTGGAGCTTCCTCTATATCACCGTCTCACTGTGAGTACTGCCACCTCCCTCAGGTGCACGTTCTCTCTGCCCGTCCGGCTGGCTGGCTGCACCCCTGACCGACAAGCCAGCCACTGCACCACTCTCTGGGACCAGCGTCCTCTCTGAGCTCCTCCCTGACACCCAGCAGCTTTCCAGAAACTCACCAGCCTCTTCCTTACGCTGGGCACAGTCGATGCTGGGCCCGCTGCCGGGCGGCCTGGGGAAGCCAGGGGCTCAAGCAGAACGGGCGGCCGTGGCCGGGGAGGAAGGCATGTCCGCGTGCAGTGCACGCAGCTGCAGAGGGGAGGCCGGCAGTGACTTCTTACCTCCGGGGTTGTGCCTCAGAGAGCACAGTCCCTGCCTCCTCTTTCTCTCCTCTCATCCTTTCTTCCTTGTCCTGGTCTCCGCTGAGGGCGGGTGATAATAGGCCTCGGTGAGCTCAGGGTCAAACCTGCAGCCTTTCCTCCTGCTGATAATTACAGGCCTCGGAGATTCCTTCGATTAAAGGTCACGAATCGGCCAGATGACTCGGGCCACCTTCCTTTGGTCTTTTGTACCCAGATTGTCCTCCTGCCCTGAGCAGAGCCTGTGGCCCTCAGGGAAGTCAGGAAGCTCCCCCCTTTCCAGCCCACTGGCTGTACTGTGGGGTCCGTTCCGGATGGCGGGTCTGAGCCCCGGGTTCCAGCCGTGCACTGTGGTCATTTTCGCTTCCAGGTACACAATGACCAAATCCTCAGCCGTCCTCTTCATCTTGATCTTCTCTCTGATCTTCAAGCTGGAGGAGCTGGTGAGGCCCCAGCATCCCCTGAGTCCCTCCTCCCCCCTCAGGTGGTAAGCATGAGAAGGGGGTCTGAGCAGCGGCTCGTCACTGTGACAGAAGAGAGGAACCCAGCCCAGGGGCAGAAGCTCCCGACAGAAGCTGAGGAAGGACCGAGCACTGGGCACTACCAAGAAGTTTAG